TTTAGTTTTGAATGAGGAAAATGTGCTCAGTTATAAAAGCCATGTTATGTTTTCTATTATTATTTTTAAATAGTCACACTTGGACTATTTTCAACCATTAGGTTAGTTTGTGATGAGAGCAAAAAATTGTGAATACTGGAAATAATGTAGAAATGTAATGTGGAAGGCGTTATGGCAGTTTCAGTTTCTACAAATCAGCATTTGTAGCAGAGTTGTTTTTTTGTTTGTTTGTTTCCTTTAAGAAAAACCACAGGGACCAAGACAGAAAATATAACAGTTTGATTTCTATAATTATTTTATTTGATGATATGTGGATACACATACATATTTTTCTTAGTAGAGGAATGCTTCACATTATTACTAAAAAATTATATCTGGTCAACTTTTTTTTTACTGTAAAGTATGTCTGCTTTATAATTGTTGAATTCGACAGTATATTGAATTTCCAGTCACTGAAAAAGGAAACTAAGCAAGTTCATTTCAAAAACCTCAAAACATTTCAGCTTCTCATATAGTAAAAAGCTGAATATTAGTAATATTTTTCATATCTAAAAAAAATTCTTAGCAATGAAATTGCTGTTAAAACACAAATTTCAGTCAAATACCTTTGTGTACAGAAAATGTCTATAGTAGTTAGATAGAAAAGTATACTATGTTTGTTGAAGTATTTTACTTTAGAATGAATAGAGAAATGCCAAAGATGAATCCTTCACTGCATTAGAAAAATATTCCAGATGTTCTCTTGGACTTTATATAAGTCTGTAGCAGATTGTAGAATTGAAAAAGTCTTTGTGAAGGTCTTCTAAAAGTGTTCAGTTTATCTCAGAATCTCCATATATAGTATCAGCTTTAACCTAAAACATTATAATATTAAAAAATAACTTGAGTTTCTCAAATGTTTGAGATGTTCAATACAATCTCTTAGTCCATTAATGCTTTTGGAAACAATTGACAAAATAGGGCAGGCAGCTAATCTTATGTACTGAAGTTGGAATTTAAATAATTTGTATCTGAAAATTAGAATGACAGTGTTGGATTTTGGGGGCAGTAGTTTAGCATATTCTCTAGTATATAGCTACACCTTAAATAAAATGAAGGAATGTCTTCAATCATATGTTAGGGGGCTATTAATAGTCTTAAAATCAATGTAGTTTATTTATTTAAAAGATAATGCATCCTGAAAGGGATCATTTATGAATAATAATCTGAAGTCTTTTCATAAAACAATTTACTTTAGTTGTACATTTAGCCAGTGTTATTTGAAGTACGTAACTTTTAAAATATTAAGTGTCTTGTCTGATTCAAATATTTGAATGAGTAATTTATTTTGTATCAGGAATGTTTTGGTACTGTGTTTTTATTCAAACCACTGACTTAACAGATACTACTGTGTGTAACATGTACTAAATATTACAGTTATTGTGCATAACAGATTGTTCCTCTTATATTTGTGTGTATACAGGTAATTCATGTTTTCATGTAAATAAATACCATTTTGCAGTTTGATTTTTAAACTGTATTTTTCATTCGGGTCTAGTCTGGAGTATATTTTTCAGGCATCTAAATAAGAAAGTGAGGATGGAACTGATTTGTTGCCCTAGGCACTCAACCTCACTAGCTGTTGCCTAGTTTCAGAAATGTGCATTTCTCTGTATCCTTTGTGTTGCTGATATGCTTTCCACTTATTATTCTAATTTAGGAAAGACAGTTCTTATAGCATATGAACAGTATCTTCAGAATTCCAAATACTAATTCATGGCTTCTGACCATAATGGAGCCAGGAGCTAAACTATGCTAACCTAATCTAGTTAGTTAATAAATAATCCTGCATAACAGGATTCCTTTGGTTGATGGTTAATAAATATTTCTCTAACAAAGTTTATATTAGTCTTTGGATAAAAAAGAAATATTAATTGTGTTTTGCTTCTTTAAGAAATGCATTTGATTAATGTAGTCTTTTAAGATGAGTCTTTTTAAATAATGATGGTAGACTTGACCTTGGAGGGACTCAAATATATGAGGAAATACAGCAATACTTCCTATTTACCTTAGTTAACAGATAGTGCCTCACTGAGGTAGGCAGCTTCTGATGTAAGACCCAATGATCTCCACTTCGTGGAATTCACACCCTTGTGTAATCTTATTCTCTTGAATTTGGGCAAGAGATAATGAAGCTCTGCTAATGAATAATATGGCAGAAGTGCTGGGATGTCATTTCTGAAACTAGGTTTAAAAAAGACCAGCTTTCTTCTTGGTTGCACCCTCTTGCTGTCTTATCTTTCAGAGCCCAGCTGCCATGTAAGAAAGAACGTAAAGAAGGCTTTTCTGGTGAATACAGGTGTAGAAAGACACCCTATGAGAGGCCACGTAGAGGTGAACAGGTACCCCCCACTGATAGGAGACGTATTTCCAGCTACAGCAGACAGCCTTCTTGAAATGAACCCTCCAGCCTTGGTAAGGCTTGAAATAATGCAGCTACAACTGACTGAATGCCACCTCATGAGAGATCTTAATTCTTATTTTGGCAAAAATTATAAACAGTTTGCCTTCCATCTGCTATGTCCAGGTTCCTAACCCACAGAAAATGTGAGATCATTCATTTTTTTTTTTTTCTTGTAATTTAGGTTCTGGGGTACATGTGCAGATTATGCAGAATTGTTGCATAGGTACATACATGGCAAGGTGGTTTGCTGCCTCCATCCCCCCATCACCCATATCTGGTATTTCTCCCCTCATTATCCCTCTCCACCCTTCCCACCCCCACCATCCCTCCCGTAGCCCCCCACTACTGACCACTGTGTGTGATGGTCCTCTCCCCGTGTCCACGTTTATTAATTGTTCAACACCCCCCTATGAGTGATAATATATGGTGTTTGGTTTTCTGTTCTTGTGTCAGTTTGCTGAGAAAGATGGTTTCCAGATTCATCCATGTCCCTATGAAGGACATGAACTCATTGTCAAATTTTTGTTGTTTTAAAGTACTAAACTTTGAATTAGTTTGTTACACAACAGCAGATAATGGTGTTTTTACTACAGCACTGCTCTAAATATTTTACTAATACTAATCAGTTTAATTTAGTTCTAGCCACCATATGAGTAGGTACTATTATCTGCATTTTCAAATAGGGAAATTAAGGCATAGATGTGTTAGGCAGTTTTCCCAGGATTACAACTACCAAGTGAGAGAATCAGGATTCAATCCAGTTGATGCTTGTAAACCAAATGCTGTGCTGCCCAATTCATTGCAGAATATAATCCCCGTAGTACCTTTAGCTGTTCCATTATCACACCTAGATAGTATCCATGGAAGGCCTCTTATTTACCAAATAATGTTAACACTGGAGATTTATGGTATTTATACCTTTACATTTTCAACAAGCAGGTTTAGAACTTAATTTCTTAAATACAAAATGAAATCAATAGCACTTATTTCATTTGGTTTTTGCAAGTGCCTGGCATGTAGAAAGTGATATTAACACATATGGTAGATACAGAAACAGTGTTCAGTGGCTGCCAATTTTATGTGGATTTTATTTATTTATTTATTTGTGTTTTGAGATGGAGTCTTCCTTTGTCTCCCAGGTGGAAGTGCAGTGGTGTGGTCTGCAGCCTCCACCTCCCAGGTTCTGGCAATTCTCCTGCCTCAGCCACCTGAGTAGCTGGGATTACAGGCACATGCCAATCTGGCTAAATTTTGTATTTTTAGTAGAGACAGTGTTTTGCCATGTTGGCCAGGCTGATTTCAAACTCCTGACCTCAGATGATCTGCCTCCTAAAATCTAGGATTACAGGAATAAGTCACTGTGATTGGCCTTATGTGGGTTTATTAGGGATGCCACAAGTGGGTTATATTACCTAATATCCTCAGAGCCTAATTCAATGGGTCTAGAATTTCTGTAAATTGTTGAGAGTTCTGATTAAATATGTAAAAAAGTTTGATTAGTAAAGCATTTACTTTGTTTTGGCAAGAATTATAAACAGTTTGCTTCACATTAAGTTGTTTAGATTTTAAAGCAGGAATAAATGCAATTTGTTTGATACTTCATGAATTACCTACCAATTGGCTTACCTAAAATACCTAAAAAATTTCAAATGCTCTAACACTTGTAACTCTGTAACTTATTTTATATTTATATGTATGTATATGTGTATGTGTGTATGTGTATGTATGTGAAGTTATTATGATAAAAACACCCACATTTTTTCTGTTAAGAATTCATCCACCTTAAATTATTTAACATGGACTGTTGGAAAGTGGAAATTGGGTCTCAATTATTAGTTGTAATCAATACCCTTCCTCTGTTTCCCAAGTTGCTATAGTAATAAGGTAATTTTGACATGATGGAAAAGTACTCTGAGTAGTTGTGGCAGACCCTGCTAAATGCATCTCAACATTTATTCTATTTATGCTCACTTCCAGAACCCAGTTTTATTTGAAGCAGCAATATCCTTTACTTCAAAAACTTTATTTCCCAGCTTCCCTTGCAGCTAGGGATGGCTCTGTGATATAATTCTGGCCAATGAGATCTAAGCATAAATCACTAGGTATAAACTCAGGATTTTTAAAAAAAATTACACATTTGGATTGTACAAACTATTGAACTACAGACTAATTTTAAGTGACTCTTCTAGGAATGAGACATCTTGGTAGAGAACTAGAAAGAGCATCATCAGCTTTGTAGTCACATAGACCTGGATTCTGTGTCTTATTGTCCCAGCTCCTCTTGGAATCTTAGTATCATATTTGGTAAACAGAGTGGATAATGCTTTTCTTACATTATTTAGTGGGGATTGAAAGTGATACATGTTCCAAATATATAGCACATTACCTGGCACATCCCGAGCTTTCAATAATAAACATTCTCATTATCTTCAAAGAAAGCAACTTAATGCTACTTAGGATTTTTCTCTATCAGCTATGGTAAATATTTTGTATATTTAAATTTATCCTTATATTGTTAATCTATTTTGAAGTTATAATCTTTAAACAAATCATACAATCATGGAATAACTGTTTTATTACAAATGTGCTACCTTTCTGTAATACAATCATTTTGAGTACTTTTCACTTTGTTTCTAGTATACATTAATAATTGAACAAGCTCAATGTACATAATTGAAATAAGTTTAAAATATTAATTTCTTAAAATAATAAAATTATCTTTGAATAACTGATTTAGTCATTTTTTGTTTTTTACTTTTGCTTTCCTTTTACTCTGTCTTACATATGAAGATAATATATATCTGTATATACATGCAGAAAACACATATTCTAAATACACAGATTGATGAATTTCCATAAACTGAACTTTCACAAAGTGAATCACTCAGATTCACTTCAAGAAACAAAATTCTACCATTATCCCAGAAGTCTTACTTTGTATACTCTATTATAACCCCTCCCCACCAAGGATAACCAGTATCCCAATTTCTAACAGTATAAATTAGTTTTTCTTTAAAAAAATTATATAAATAGGATCATGGACTCATATAGTAATATTCTTTTGTGGCTATTTCACTCAACATTCTTTGTGAGATTCGTCAGAGTGCCTGTAGCTGTTGTTCATCCAGTCTCATAGCTAGATAGAGTTCTATTATGTGAATATACCACAATTTATCCATGATTTTCCACTATATTTTAAAATTATGCAGATTTGCTGATTTACTAAAATTATAGGAGTAGAGAGCTAAAACATTTTTAACTGATATTAATGAAATATCTTGATTCCTTTCTTAATGGAATTCAACAGCTAATTATTCATGAGTACAAAGCACTTGTAAAGACAGGACAACACTTCAAGTAGCTCACATCCTTAAGGGAGGTGACTTTAGATAATACAAGTTTTCTAGTTTAAGGCAACTTTTCATAAATACCCTTAGGAAATGAAGGATGGTTGTACAGGGTTGCATAGGGAAGGAAAAAGAGGATAAAAGAATTGGTTGATGACTTTAAAGAGCATGCTAAACTCTATTATTAAAATCTTCTTGAAAGAAAATCCAACTGAAGTTTAAAGACAAAATTTGAAGGGCAATTCAGCGACATAATATTGCCTCTTTTAAATAAAATTACTAAAGATAAAGTCCTTCAGAATCTGATTAGGACTACAAATCAACAATCCTCTCATTAAATGTAATAAAATATCTCACTGAGGTTGATATATTAATCAAAGAATAATGTTCCAAAGAAAATGCTAGTTTTTTTACTCAAAAGTGAATAGCAAAAATATAAAAAATTATAAAATTCTGTTAATATATAATTACTCTTTCCAAAAGCAGCTGAATAACATTTTTTTCTGATTCCTTCATCATTTCATACATTGTACAATAACTCAACATATATTTTTAATATTTATTTGTTTTGTTTATTTATTTTAAAGGCAGGGTGTCTGTCACCCAAGCTGGAGTGCTATAGTGTATCATCTCACTGCAGGCTTGAACTCCTGGGCTCAAGCTATCCTCCCACCTCAGCGTCCTGAGTAGCTGGGATTACAGGTGTGCACTATCATGCCTGTCTCATTTTTTTCATTATATTTTCTTATTTTTTGTATAGACAGGATCTTGCTATGTTGCTCAGGTTGGTCTCAAGCTCCTGGCTTCAAGCTATCCTTTCACCTCGGCCTCTCTAAATGCTGGAAGTATGAGTGTGTACCACAGTGCTCAGCCCACATCTATATAAATTGGTACTTACTGTACTCTAAAACGTCTAGTCATTCATTATACAAACATTTGTTTGTATAATGGGTATCAGTTATGCGAAAGGACTATGCTAGGAACATAACATACAAAGACGATTAAAGCTAGGCACTTGCCTTCAAGGGGAAAGGAGACTTAAAAAAAATTAAAATAGAGTATGAGCCCTGCCATGATAAACGTATGGATGTGGGGCTAATGAGAGCACAGAAAAGTGGCGTCTAGATCACACTGGAGGGCAGAGGGAGAAGATCGAGGGATACTCCATTGAGAAAGGAAATCCCAAGTGAAGTTAGAGACTTAAAGAACAAGTGTTACTTAGCATTTTGCTCAATGTGGATAAGATAAGCATGAATCAAAGAGGGAAGACTCAGTACAGCCCAGAATAGTTAGAAACTGTGGTGCTGGCTGGGGGCGGTAGGTCACGCTTGCAATCACAGCACTTTGGGAGGCTGAGATAGGCAGATCACCTGAGGTCTGGAGTTCAAGAACAGCCTGGCCAAAATGGTGAAAACTTGTTGCTACTAAAAATACAAAAATTAGCCCGGCCTGCAATCCCAGCTACTTGGGAGGCTGAGGCAGGAGAATCACTTGAACCTGGGGGATGGAGGGGCAGAGAGCAGATCTGGCACGATAGCACTCCAGCCTTGGCAACAATAGTGAAACTCCGTCACAAACAAACTCTGGTGCCTATTAGTGTGTGTGCCAACTCAGAGCAGGGGCCTATCCTTGTGCATTTCTTCTCTATCTTTGCTTTTTAAATGCTAATGCATATGGTTTTTTTTTATTATATGCATTAACACACAGCTAAAGTAATTTATGTTTTGTCCTTGAGTCTTGTGTTATTCCAGCTTCTGTTGTCATTTCATAGAAAAGTCCCTTCTGACATATCAACTTCTGTGGTGCTTCAAATTCCACAATTCTTCCAGAGTCTAGAACAAGCACCCTGAAATGTGAAAAAATATAGCATCAGATAACCTACAGTCTTCCACTTCACATTTTTTGGTACTCCTAATATAAAGTGTAAACTTTTGTACAAGTTATATCAGTACAAAATATAGGTGCTAGTTAATTCAGGAACTATATCAAGTTTTCTAATATTCTTTTAGCTTTAACTTTTGCTTCCAATTCTTTTAGAAAATACCTTCTATACCATTAGGGAAAATTTTATATCTCTCAGCACATATATAATTATTTATGACTGGCAAGTAATCATATGCCCAATATTGATCTTGGCAGAAAGGATTTTATTTCTGAAAAGAAAGAAAGCACACCTGTCGGAATCAATGATAGACTGCAGTCTGTGAGCAATTGTCAGGATGGTGCAATCAGAAAACTCCTTCCTGATTGTGGTCTGCACCAACTTGTCTGTCTCAAAGTCGATGGAAGCTGTGGCTTCATCCAAGATGAGAATTTTTGTTTTGCGAAGCAAAGCACGAGCCAGACAGAGCAGCTGCCGTTGGCCCACGCTGTTAAAAATAATAATAATAATAATAAGGTAATTTCAACCCTGGACTTCATAACACACTTCCTGTTTTAAAATTCTGATGATACTGCTATTCATTCTTTTTCTCACCCACAACTTCATTTGTTCTTTTATTCAAGAAATATTTATTGAGGTAGTGCCAGGCTTTAGACCAATGAGAGAAACAGACAAAAATCTCTGTGTAGCCGATACATTCTCATGGGAACACAGAAAATAATCAGTAAGATAATTGAATAAAATGCATAGTAGGAGGAGTATACAAGTACAGTGCAACATTTTATGTCATAATTTCATGCATATAATAAGTGTTAAGAAGAATTCAAACACACGGAAGGGGGTATAAAGTGTGGGTGTGGGGTGAGCATTTTAGATGGGCTTGCCAGAGAAATCCTCAGGAGAAGTTTTAAGGCAAAAACTGAAGAACGTGGAGAGTGAAGAATGCAGATTTCCAGTAAAAACTTGTTCTGGGTAAAGGAAACAGCAGATATACAATCCCTGTGGTAGGCGTGAACTGGCCTAGCAAACTCATGGACACAGCATGGAGGCCAATGCAGCAAAAACACAGAGGGGAAGGGAGAAAGAAATCAAAGAAAGGCTGGTGGGAGTATCAGCACACAGGTCAATACACGGATCTAGCTGGCTTTCCTTGTGTCTCTGATCCCATGAAGGGGGCTATTTTAAGGCAACAAACAATGGTGAAGACAAAGTAGCCCCTTACATTTTTTAGTAACAAGGCTCTTAGAGTAGCAGTCTTGACAAAAGAAGATTCAATTAAACAGTGACTTTTCATAGGGCATTGTTCCTTTTTTTCCTTTTCTTTCTCTTAGCCAGTGGTTTCCCAGCCTGCAGTTGCCAATTTACTTTTTCTTCTTCCCTAGAGCGAATCAGCCGTGGTGCACTTTAAACAGCCCTGGTGGCTCAGGAGCTGTACTTCTCATGCAGGCCAACTCAGATTTCCAAAGAATGAATAACTTGGACAAGCTCTGCTCTCAGCAGCTTACCTGAGGTTCTCGCCACCTTCTGAAATCTCGTACAGTAGCTTCTCAGGAAGGGACTGCACAAACTCTTTTAAGTGACACAATTCCAGTACCTTCCACAGCTTGCTATCAGAATATTTGTTTAGGGGATCCAGGTTCATTTGAAGGGTTCCAGAAAATAAAATAGGATGCTAGAGCAGAAAATAGTCCCACATAATCTTACTGTCATGAGGCATAAATACATTTTTAAAAATCAGACTCAAAACAAAGCAAGAGAAAACAAAATGATCAGATCTAATATAATCGTCAACTTCATTTTATATATAAAACAAAAACAGAAGAGTCAGAATAAACTATAATTCATATTAAGTGATTATAAGTCCCCTGATTTTCTTTCTCCTCCTCCTATTATTGAAAATAATAACAACTACTGTAATAATGACGATAATTACTGCTATGTAGTCAGGGATAGATATAATACAACATATAATAAATATGAAGTATAGTATGTATATAATATTACCAATCAATATAGCAACTCAGAAAGATAGAAATTAGTATTCCTATTTTAAAGAAAGTGAGCTGGAGGTTGTGAAGAGCTCTTGTCCACACCACACAGAAAGTAAGTGGTTGAATAGAATTCAAAGAGGATTAAGTCTGTTTTCTTCCTACTACACCAAGATGCCTAGTGAAACTATATTTTACTCTATCTATGAGAGAGGAAAGACTGATGTCTCTTTTTTCCACTAAATTTTTTCCTTTCCAGAATTCCAGATTCTACTCAAATTGTTTTGAAGTAAATCCATGAATACAAGTATATGTCTAAATGACATTTTAGTATGTTAAAATCAGTATTTTAATATATTTTTAGAAGATAGTACAAAGATATTTCATCAAATACTTTAAAAAATCTTAATTCACTCAAACGCAGCTAAGTATTTCTTTGCTCTGTTGCCCAGGCTAGAGTGCAGTGGCGCGATCTCAGCTCACTGAAACCTCTGGCTCCCAGGTTCAAGCAATACTCCTGTCTCAGCCTCCTGAGTAGCTGGGATCACAGATGTGCACCACCATGCTGGGATAATTTATGTACTTTTAGTAGAGAGACGGGGTTTCACCATGTCAGCCAGGCTGATCTTGAACTCCTGACCTGAGATGATCTGCCTGCCTCAGCCTCCCAGTGCTGGAATTACAGGCATGAGCCACCACGCCCAGCTTCTGATGAGTATTTCATCTTTGGCTTTAGAGGCATATTTTTAAGCTAATTTTCTTGCCCCTTAATGATCAAGTTCCTTTGATTACACAGATAGAAAAATCGAAGGACTTGAGGAAAGAGATCTAACTAAATTATTGTTCTTTTTTTAATTTTCTAAACTTCAAGTGAAAAACAGTCAAGCTTCTACACTCAAACTACCAACTAAGCAAGAACTTCAGTAATTTTTAAAAATCAATTTATTTCAGTCTGATCTATTTATCTGAATTTTATTTGCACTTAGTAAGGAAATTTTATCAAAAAAAAGATGTATTAGTTTTTCAAATAGATAAATGCTCTTAGGAAGAATGCTTTATAATAAGAGTGTTTTAAAAAGATTCAGTTTCATAGCAGTTTTTCATATAATTCATTTAAAATGATATGGCTTCAAACAATGAATTTATCAACTTGGAAGGAATAGATTTTAAAAAAGAAAACAGATTTCCTTAGAGTGGGTTAAGAAAGATTACTGGCAAAATAAGCTTTACCTGCGGAATAATGTTAAGTTTGCTACGAAGGTCATGAAGTCCAATAGTTGATATATCAATTCCATCAATAATAATTTTGCCTCCTGCTCTCTCCACAATTCTAAATAAGCAATTTGATAGTGTGGATTTGCCTGCTCCAGTCCTTCCCACAATTCCAATCTGTAATTATATAATCATAGACTCTACTTTTTGTAAGGGAACAAGGCCTTTGTGCTGACAGCAAATACATTAAGTGTTAGGTCAATAGGATCCAATTATGTCAACAAGATGGGCATGGAAGATGTCATGTGACATCTAAGGACCAGTGTTTATCCAAATACTCTTTACCCACTTTAGAGGTTCTGACTAATCTGTGTTTTTCCTCTAGTTTTGAGTAATTTAGTTACCTCCTCACTAAAGATCCCCGGCAGGCCCAGGAAAAACAGGTCATTCCTGAACCACCCCTGAACTGCCCATTAAAGGGTAGGGCAAAAGAAGCAATGAGAATGAGTGGTTTCATTGAGATTTTCAGAAAACAGATTTTCGCTATCTTCCCTTCACTGAAACAAACAAACAAGCAAAGAAATAAACAGGGTACTGCAATATTTCGCCAGATAGACTAGAAAATCCAAGGAACACCCGTAAATTTTTCTGGTGTATCAAAACAAATCTGCATTAAAACAACTCTGTTACGTGTGGCCACAAATAGTGTTTAAGGATTTTGACTCCTGGCCAAAATGATCATCTTGTCATAAACATCCCAGTGATTAAACATGTTCCTGTGACCAATGGAACTAAAGAGCGATCTCTTCTGGTTGCTGACTTGTGTCTTGGTATTAATAGGAATGTTAGGCAGGTAGAATATTAAACTTTTTTTTTTTACTCTAATACAAAATCTTAAGTCTAACAAAATACATCAGAAAAAACAGAGATCTGTTGAATTAATTGGGGTAGTCAAAATTTCAGAATGGTTGTTTCTGTTCCAAAAATATTTTTGCTAATGTGCCTGTTTGCTTTTTTAAAACATAAAGCCAAAATTCTGTGCTATCAATGGTTTTGTAAGTTGCTTTTGTTAACTAAAGTGCATTTCAAGCATTTTCCCATCTCTTTAATGGTTTTGGAAAACATATAATGTTTTTGACTATACAAATAGTTGAACTTATGTATTTACTGTATTTGGGGTAATGATTTATTTATTGTTGCAGTTCATTTTATAGAGGAAGTAAAAACCAAATACATCAAAATTGTGTTTCATAATGGTGTATAAGCAATTTAATTAAGAAATGTATTTTTTATAGAGGAAAAATTCATTCAGTACACATCAACCACGTCTTTATTATTTTTATTAAAAAATTTAATAAAAGACCACCTTACATTCAATATCATATTATACTCAACAATGAATGCATTCAGATAAAAGGGAAACTAAAGCATATCAAATATATATGATACCTTCTCTTCCTCATGAGTCTGGAAAGTGATATCTTGTAATGCTAAACTAAGATCATCTCTGTATCGAGCCTGATAATTAATAAATTCCACTACACCTTTATTGGGCCATTGTAATGGAGGTCTTCTAGATGTTATCCAAGGTGCCTTAAAACAAAAACAAACAATAAGAAATACTTTAAACAACAATTGTAATTAAAAAATCCCTCCCCCCAAAATAATTCTTATGCATGTAACAAAAGTGAATATAAATGATGAAAGACATTTGTAGGTATTATGATTTTCTGAAGATAGTTTTAAATTCTACCAACATGAAACTTATCTAGTTATAAGAAAATATTAGAAATAAATATTTTGAGGTAACAGGACTTCTCATCTCCTGTCAAGTTATTAAGAAAAATTTTCTAAAATCCCTATTAAGGGCCTGAAGATAACATGAAATTTTAGTTGAGATAAGGACAGTTTGTTGTTCATTCATTCCTCAAAGACTTACTGTGTCAGTCACTATTTTAGTTGCTGGAGATTCAGAAGTGAGAAAAACAGATAAAAATTATTTCCTTTATAGTGTATACATACTAGTGGGGAGAGACAAAAAGAACCGTGTAATATATTCAGCATGCTGGATAATGATAAAGCTTTGTAAGACAAGAAACAACCAGAGGTGGGAGAAGAAAGAGGTGTCATTTAAAGCAGTGTAGTTAGGAAAGACTTTGCTGACCACGATGAGAGAAAATGCTATGTGGATACCAATGGAAGAACATTCTAGGCAAAGGGTTTGGTAACTCTTTGGAACTGATTACTTGTGTCCAAGATCTAAGACAGGGGCCTGTGTGGAATACTGGACGAAATACGAATTAAAAGAACACACAAGCCTGTGTGATGCCTGGGCAGTGAGGTAAACAGTTTCGTGGGAGAGGGAGAGATGGCTAATGTCAAATGATAGGTCAGTTAAAGTGAGGACTGAGAAACGACCAGTTGTGATCTTCATGAGGGAAGGTTCTGTGGAGTAATGGGATCAAAAGCCTGTTTGGAGAGGGTTCAAAAATGAATCAGAGAAAAGAAAATAGAAAAGCATGTACAGGCATCTTTGCAAAAGAATTCTCCTGTAATGGAAAGCAGAAAAACAGTGTAGAGGGCTGAATAAGGTTATTTGAACACGTTTATCTCTTCCACATCAAGAGTTTTTGTAGCAATATTTGTCACAACTTGCATCAAATTACATAAAGGTTTTTGTTTGTTTAAATGTGTGTACACACTTCTTTTATCATCATTTTCTAATGTGAAAGAAATACATTTTATGAGCAAAAATTTAGAGGCCGGTCGCGGTGGCTCACACCTGTAATCCCAGCACTTTGGGAGGCCGAGGAAGGTGGATCACAAGGTCAAGAGATCAAGACCATCCTGGTCAACATGGTGAAACCCCGTCTCTACTAAAAATACCAAAAAATAGCTGGACATAGTGGCGCGTGCCTGTAATCCCAGCTGCTCAGGAGGCTGAGGCAGGAGAATTGCCTGAACCCAGGAGGCAGAGGTTGCGGTGAGCCGAGATCGCGCCATTACACTCCAGCCTGGGTAAACAAGAGCAAAACTCGGTCTCAAAAAAAATTTTTTTAGAAAATGTAGAAAAATAATATTTTATATTAGCCCTGCGATGACAGACTGAAAAAGCTCAATATTAGTAACTAAAGATTGTGAAGGTACACTAATCTTTCATGAAATTTCTATGAGAAGGGAAAACAAAACCTGGGAGAAAATTCGGAGGAAAATTCAAAGTTTAGGTACGAGTTGGAGAATATAGAAAATATTTTAGCATAGTTACAGGCTGAGAGGAACAGCAAGGGAGCAGGAAGTGGAAGAGGTGGTAAATGGAGTAAGAGCTGAGGGAAGAGAGGAAGAGATATTACCACTAATGCAATGGGAAATGGTAGATTTTTATTTGGAGAAGGTACCTCTTCCTCAGATTCATGAGCAGAAGAGGGAGAGTTACAAGATCAAAAGGAAAGCTAGCTTCCTAGGAGGATTGAAGAACAGAAATTCAAGTCATCTTTGCCATCTACCATGTTAATTAATGGAATTTGGAAGCAGAAGTAACCTAGATGAGTAAAATATTTTAAAAACTTAAATATTTTACTTTGTCAATAGTCGAAATAACTCTTTGTCCTCCCAAATTATGGTTAATTAGAGGAAACAAATCAGACTAATTTATTCTCCTCTCCCTTCTCTTTCACAGAGATACTACTAATGATGAGTAAATAAAATGGAAGTTATAAGCAATCAAATGTAATTAATTTAGAAATTGTGCAGAATCTAAATAATTATAAGTTGACTATATTATGACACTTTTCTTACTGTAAAATTCCCCCAAAGTTATAATTGCCTGTTGTATATTTTACCCTATACATCAGTAGAGGACAAATCACTGTGCCTATTAAAAACAAGACACCATATTGCATTTTTATAACTCACTGAAGTGGGAACATATCTTACAATTTAGGGATTATCCCAATTTAAAGTATTTTTATTTCTATTTTAGTAATATATAAAATAATAGGCCACTTACAACAATTTTGGTGTTAATTTCATTGAAACTCTGAATAGTACATGAATTTATAAATGCAGGTTTGCTTAAAATTTATTTTTATAGGGGAGAGGACTCAAGATGGCGCTGTGAGAACAACCCAGGATTGGAGCTCGTGTTGAATCCGCAAACGGTGAGTCAGAGCTGCATTTACAGACTGATATTTGTTGCCCATAGAACGGGGAAACTCCCAAGTATAAAAAGACACGGACGCCAGGCAGTAGGTCTGCCTGGCGAAGCCGGCAGCCGGGACGGCGGCAGCCAGCCCTACCCAGCAATCCCCACGGGGCGCGCATGTCTGGGTGCCCTGTTGAACCGGCAACCTGAGACTTGAGAGGGCTGGACTTGAGACTGAACGAGACTTGGACAGTAGCCCAGCCCAGGGGATTGCAGGGACAGATCGTTTGGGATACCCAGTGGGATGAACAAAACCACGATTTCAAACTATCCCGAGCAGACGTCCGAGACGCTCTGTGGGGGAGGGGCGTCCACCACTACCAAGGCAACCCGCCCCAACTGAGATACACGTCCACTGCTGACTCAGCCGTTGCCGAGGCAACCCGCCCCAACTGAGATACACGCCCACTGCTGAGGCAGCCAGCCGTTGCCGAGGCAACCCGCCCCAACTGAGATACACGCCCACTGCTGACGCAGCCTGCCATTGCTGAGGCAACACGCTACAATGAAGAGACTCCACCGCAGGGCGTGGCAGAGACCACAGCAGAGCCTGCAGGAACAGGGCGAATCACACAACAGCAGGGCGGAGCCTCAGCAGCCAAACAGTGGCTAGTCGGCCTTCTAGCTGAGCAGGACACCTCATCGAACAACCAAAAATAAAGCCCAAACCCGTCAATATAGAGCATTTGAGAAAAAAAAAAAGGGTTTTTTAATGAGCTCTGTTGCAGCAGAATCAAACATAGCAGCCTAACAGCCCTGAATGAACAACAGAGCGCACAGCTCAGCAATTAAGCCCCTATAAAGTACAAACTGTCTCCTCAAGCAGCTCCCTGACCCCTCTATATCCAAAAGACTGACATTAGGCAGGCATTATCCTGGGACAAAGATAGCAGAAAAAGAAACTGGTAGCATCCCTCGCTGTGCCACAGCTGCTAGAGGTGCACCCCAGACAAGCAGGGTCTGGAGCGGACCTCAGCAGTCGTACAGCAAAGGGGCTAGACTGGTAGAAGGAAAACTAAGCAACAGAAATACTTCAACATCAACATTCCGGGTGTCCACTCAGAGACCGAATCGAAAAGTCAGCAACTATGCAAACGACCAGTGGACAAATCCACAAAGATGGGAAGAAACCAGCACAAAAAGGAGGAAAACACCCGAAACCAGAACACCTCTCCTCCTAGAAAGGACGAAAACTCCTCACCAGCAAGGGAAGAAAGCTGGACGGAGAATGACTGTGACGAAATGACGGAATTAGACTTCAGAAGATGGATAATGAGAAACTTTTGTGAGCTAAAAGAACATGCATTAAATCAATGCAAAGAAACTAAGAATCTTGAAAATAGATTTGAAAAAAGATTCGAGGAAATGATAACAAGAATGGATAACTTAGAGAGGAATATGAATGAATTAAAGGAGCTGAAAAACACAATACGAGAACTTCGCGAAGCAAACACAAGTTTCAATAGCCGAATTGACCAAGCAGAAGAAAGAATATCTGAAGTCAAAGACCAACTCAATGAAATAAAACGAGAAACCAAGATCAGAGAAAAAAGCGCAAAAAGGAATGAACAAAGTCTCCAAGAAATGTGGGACTATGTGAAAAGACCTAACCTACGTTAGATAGGTGTACCAGAAGGGGACGAAGAGAATGAATCCAAGCTGGAAAATACTCTTCAGGACATCATCCAGGAAAATTTCCCCCACCTAGCAAGACAGGCCAACACTCAATGGCAGGAAATACAGAGAACACCACAAAGATATTCCGCAAGAAGAGCAACCCCAAGGCACATAATCGTCAGATTCAACAGGGTTGAAATAAAGGAGAGAATACTAAGGGCAGCCAGAGAGAAAGGTCGGGTCACCCACAAAGGGAAGCCCATCAGACTCACAGCAGATCTCTCGGCAGAAACACTACAAGTCAGAAGAGAGTAGGGGCCAATATTCAACATTCTTAAAGAAAAGAACTTTCAACACAGAATTTCATATCCAGCCAAACTGAGCTTCAGAAGTGAAGGAAAAATAAAATCCTTTGCGGACAAGCAAGTACTCAGAGATTTTGTCACAACCAGGCCTGCTTTACAAGAGCTCCTAAAAGAGGCACTACACATAGAAAGGATCAACCAGTACCAGCCATTCCAAAATCACACTGAATGCTAAAGAGCTTCAACATAATGAAGAATCTACAACAACTAACAGGCAAAACAGCCACTTAGCATCAAAATGGCAGTATCAAATTCACACATAACAATATTAACCCTAAATGTAAACGGACTAAATGCACCAATCAAAAGACACAGACTGGTAAATTGGATAAAAAGCCAAAACCCATCAGTGTGCTGTATCCAGGAAACCCATCTCACATGCAAGGATACACAAAGGCTCAAAATAAAGG